AATGCAATTTCAACGATAAAGAGGAAATGCGATCAATTCGATTCCATTCTATAAAATTCACTTCAATTTAATCTAATTTATCAAAAAAACGCAGAGGCGTCATTTGGGGGGAGGCAGGGGGCCCCCAAGAAAAATTATAAAATATTAAAATTATTAATTATAAAAGTGTTAATTTTAAATTCTTTGTAAAAAGGATATATATAGGATATATAATTTAGTAATTTTAAAACTTTAAAAATTTTGAAATTTTAAAAACTTTAAAAATGTAAAATTTATTATAATGTTGCACTGACGAGACTAGGTAGTCGAAATAGTACTATATGCATACATGTAGATAATGACATCTTCTGTAAATAGGAATTTCGTTAATAGCATTAAAGCATTAACAAGTTAAGCTTGGTAGATTGGAGAATTAATCGAAGAATCGAGAAACTATCATATAGATTGCGTACTGTAAGAAACGCCGTATATATATATATATATATATATATATATATATATATATGTTACATGCTAAGTCATAGACCACATAAGTTCGCCCCCCCCAACCAAAATCTGAAATGACGCCCCTGAAAAGACGTAGATACATCCGCCACTAAAAACCAAACAAACATGTTTGGCACTAACCTGACCGGGTCTAACTCCGTATGACGGTTCAGGGATGTTAAAATCATTATTCAACGATGAATAAATTCATTGTGAGTGTTTTTTTTTCTGATTTGATTATTCATTAATTTTTATTAGTTCATAATATCACGTTAGAAGTTTTTGTATAAGGCTTGATAGTTAAAATTTTTTTTTGAAATATTTAATTATTATTGCTTTGTTTTAATTTGTTAGATAGTCGGCAACCTACCGAACATTTTGTTGTGCATCCGTTACGTTAAAACGCTTGAATAAGAGTATCTAAGTGTTTTTGTTATGAATGAATGAATGAATGAATGGATGGATGGATGGATGAATGAATGAATGAATGAATGAATGAATAAATGAATGAATGAACGAACGAATGAATGAATGAATGAATGAATGAATGAATGAATGAATGAATGAATGAATGAATGAATGAATGAATGAATGAACGAATGAACGAATGAACGAATGAACGAATGAACGAATGAACGAATGAACGAATGAACGAATGAACGAATGAACGAATGAACGAATGAACGAATGAACGAATGAACGAATGAACGAATGAACGAATGAACGAATGAACGAATGAACGAATGAAAGAATGAACGAATGAACGAATGAACGAATGAACGAATATATTAACGGACGATTGAATGAAATAGTTAAAAAATACTTGATTGATTAAATGATTAAGTGATAAGTGATTAAATTAATAAGTGATTAAATTAACAAATAGAGCTATAGACTGAAGTGGGATAGATTATCATCATCATCATAATCATCATCATCATCATCATAAACAATATTTTACAGCAATTTTTTGAGAAGAAAGCTTGTTATTTGTTGTGACATCTAAGGAAAGCATTGTTCATGGATATTTGTGTACGATGGTGATGGTGATGACGACGACGATGATAGAAACACTGATGATGATAATGACGACGAAAAAAAAGATACTGATGCTGATGACGATGATGATGCTGATGACGATGACAAATTTGATGATGATAATGATAACATCGAAAAAAATAATAATAATGATGATAAAAAATGATTTAAAATAATACTTTTTATTGAATTTTTATATAAAAAATGCTTACCCTTAAATTTAACCGATCTATGACAGTTCAAAAATTTTATTATTGAAACAGCTGTAAATGATGTTGATGACGACGACGTTGTTGTTGTTGTTGCAGATGGTGATGATGATGTTTTTGTTGTCGTTGTTGACGATGATGACCATGATGATGTTAGTTGTGAGTGCAGATAGGATGGCAATGATAATGATGAAAAGTTGCTTCGGACTTGTGTTGATGTTTGTTTGTTGCTGAATTTGTTGTTTGAATGATCATGTTGTTGTTGTTGTTGTTGTTGTTGTTGCATCAAGATAGAGCTGTGATATCGTTGATGTTGTTGTTGCTGGTTGCGTGTTGTATATTGCTGTGAACATCTTTTGTTGTTGATGTTGTTGTTTTGTTTGCAACAATGTTGATGTTGTTGTTGTTGTTGTTGCTGTTTGAGATCAATTGATGAGTAAAAATACGTCCCGTTATCGCAAAGATGTTGATGTTGTTGCTGCTGTTGCAGGTGTTGTTGTTGATGTTGCAGGAATTGTTGCAGTAATTGTTGTTTCAAACTTTCACGCTTTTGTTCTTTGTGGTGACTAGATTGTTGTTGTTGTTGCTGCTGCTGATGCATTATTTTTTCAACCACAGATAGTTTTAAAAGTTAAATAACTTTTTTTCTGAAGTTCTTCTGAGAGAATTTCAAAATCTTAAAACATTTAAAACGGCTCACTTCATTTAGTTCATATTCATTGAACACATATGTGCGTACTATGTATGCGTGTGAGAGTTGTTAATGT